TAATAAAATATGGAGGTAGTGGGGTTAGTGGAAGAATAAAAAATGGTAAAAAGCAAAAGTAGTTGAGATAATTGGAGGAGAGAGAATATAAAATGAATAAAATATGGTTGATGTTGGGTCCACTAGGTGAGAGAAATGAATTAAATATTATAAAAGCTTTCCAAATAAAGAAATGGAATAAGTATTTAAAACGGCCGAAAATAGAAAGTGAAGCAAGTATTTAAAAACGGAGGGAGTAGTATATAAATATTTCATGGTCAATTTTTTCTAATTATCTTACATTGCAAATGATACTGCATTCTCAAAATCCGATTAAAGGAATTGCAACACAGATTGAGTAATTATAATTAAAGAAGATTAACGTTGATCACAACACAGAATATAACATGTACGAAGTAGCACTCAATTAACAATGTTTACACTCATTGCTTTGTATTACATTATAATTTATAAATGGTACTAGCTTCGGGCTTTTCATAATTAATAAGAAAAACTAGGCATTAAATTTATTTGTATTTATATTTTCGACGTAAAAGAGTTGTGAATTCAGGGAGTAAAATAGTCGCAATAATTAAAAATTCAAATTAATATAATCGCAAATAAAGTCACCACTTGAAGTGTTTTCTCTTGGATGCTTACCCGATAGATATTGGAGTTAGGTTTAACTAAGCAATTACAATCACCACACTATTCCTCGTGATACCGTAGTGTACATATTTCTACTAGAAAATACTTTTTAGCACGAAAGTTTAAATCACTTGCTTGCCCCATAAGTTCATGATTCACATGATCTTGTTTAAGATAGCCCTAAAATATTCGACCTACTCTTTATCTGGCTTGGAAGTTGGAATCCATTATATATCTAATCATATAATATACCTGCCGTTTATCTTACTAACTTGGGAAAATACGCATGATTATTCCACTTTTTGCTTACAATTAGTACGTTTTAAGCTAGTAACGTTATCCTTTCGTTTGGTGGTTGTAGTGTATTAATGATTTGTGACTTTTTGATCAAATAGTTTTTAAAGCACAATCTTGAGGGACTGTGTTGTATATCGGGATGTTTAAGTTGTTAGTTTATAGTAGTATAATACAACTTGAATCGATCACTCAGTATGAATGACAATCTAAATCAAATCATACTCCGTATTTAAAATTCGGCTAAAAATGAAATCAACCTAACTAAAATCCAAATGATATTCGAAATAAGATGATGTGAACTAAACATGATCCAACCTAAACGAACTCAACTTAAAATTGATATAACTTGAATGCAAATTCAATAGATCGATAGGACTTGATCATCTTATGCGTATATATGTAACTGATCGAACTGAAAATCTCTTTACCTTATTAACATACATGATCATGACCTGACCTAAAATAACCAAAAGCCTCCTCACTTAAAGAAGACTCAATTTAACCCAAACCCAAACCAAAAATTTAAGTTACTTATAATAAATTTCATATACTAGGTCAAATTCAAATAAGTCCAATATTCTATGCACTACTTAGGATAAGAAATGCTAAAATTAAACTAAAGATCGCCATATTTGGTTTTGCATACTAGTTTCATTAAGAAGATATTGACGGCTGTAAAGCTTACAAATTAAAGTTACAATGAGATAGTGAAAAAACATCATTGAATCAGTTGAGTTGTTCCTTTAATATAATTTTGCATCATAATGATGTTTATTTAACGGATCACTGAACAAAGTACAACATACAAACTTTAGGTTGAAGAAGATCAACTTTCTCCATCTATCCTATTATAATTAAGCTTTCATTGATCCATTCTTTCAGCAACAGTAAGTCAGTAATCCCTATCAGACCATCCCCATCAAGAGTTAAGGTATGTAATTAATACGAGTATATGGATTATTATCAAGTTGCATTGTGTCACACAAAAGGATAATAGAAAATTATGTACTAAATCTATTCTTCCTGTTCTCTTATATTATATATACTTCCTCTGTCTTTATATTTTTGCCCCATGGTATATTTTTGTCTGGTCAGAACATTAAAAACTTAGACAATTAATCCTCTCTAATTTATTAGTAATAATATATCTTTTTGTTATATTAGATTCGTTTCAATGTCTAGTTTAATTTAAGATAGAATGTCAATTTATGTTAATATATTTACCCTTATATTTATACAATTAAAACTCTTTATGTTTTAAGATTTATCTTGCAGGTCATGCATACATAGTCAAATAATGGAGCAAAAAAAAATGAGATACAGAGATCAGAGTATGTATTCTCTTAGATTCAAATCTTGCCCTTTTAAACTAAGAGAGTGACTTTAAACTTCCATCATGATCGCTCTCTCAGTGTCGTGACATTAGCCTCGAAGGGCAATTAAATTTATTCTCTCTCTTTATCCTATATGAGGTTTAAAAGGGCAAGTTTTTCCGCTCTCTACAATTGAAATCAAATAATACTTGTAATTTTTTTCGCCCGAATAAATCAAACAAGACATTATTCTCCTTGTCCTATATAAATAAAACAACTTAGACGTGAAGAAATCTACCCATTGAATAGATGCAATTTTTTTTTCCAATAACGTAGTGGTCGTGTATCATTAGCATACCAACTTTTCCAAATTCAAAACCTTTCATGTTTCATCCAACAAATCAGTGATTTTCTTCTAAAAAAACTACATTATGCACGTGTTCTTAATAGTAATAAAACCTACAACAATAGAAAATTAATGAAAATTAAGTATCACCATACATATGAATTAAGATATATGTGGATCTACCATAATTATGTTTAGCTAGACAAGTATGTTTATTAGTAGTTGCATTAGCTGGATATCTATATGACTTGGTCTTCATATCAAACAGTATTAGCAAAATATAATTATAATTACTCCGTAGTACCTAGTCATCATGAAATGACCAAACAACCACCTTTGTGTCTTAGTAATATACAGCAACATTCCTGGCTCCACATATCTGCACTTAGCTGCACCTGAGATCTCTATACTACCTTTTTTCCACTCAAATATTAATAATTTATAATTAATCAATTTATTAATTAGGTGTAAATTAAATAGACATTTTACATATTTGTTTTCTATCTTTTGTCTTCACTTTATTATGGAGTATTCTTGATTAATTATTAAATTATTGATGATTTTATGATATAGAATAACAACCACCACCATCATCTCATTAGCAAAAGGCCAAATTATCTCTTTCACACAAATGTAAAAGTTATTAAAGTTGATATGGCTTATTGGTCCTTCTTTTAATTATTCTATGCATGAATAAAAGTGACCACATTATATTGCCTTTTGATTGCACTATTGAAGAAGTTTAGGATTTAACTTTCTTTATCTTTACCTATATAAAAAAAATCCTTTTTGTCCATACGATTTGTGTAAGCTTTTGTTTCACAAGTTATTCTCCTTCCATTACTTCCCTTTAATGGATCACACATAAAACACCATCATGCTACCTATTCTTACCTTTATTTTTTGTTCAAAGAATTAATAATAATTAAAATCATAAAGTGAAAGCATGAAAATTGGTCGATTAATAAACTTAAATTGTTAATTAGTGTGTGTAGATATCAGATACTAATGGTTCATTTGTTATACGATGGAACTTAATTAATTCTTATGATAGAGTTGATTAAGGTGTTGTACTGTTTTGGTTCAAATCTTGAATTCTTGGATCAACTTGGGTAGATAAAAATAAATCCTATTCACAACCTTACTTTAGCAAGAAAAAATATAAAATGTAACCACGCTAATGCACTAGATATATCAAGCTTGTAAAGTAATATAATGTGTTAATTTAATCTGAAAGGTCAATGGATTTTTTTATTTTTTTTAATAACAATTAGAGTATATGCAATTTGGGATGGATTAAAGATTTAAAGGGATTTGGTTAAAAGCTTGATATTAACATTACTAGCTAATTATCACCATGGAGTATAATGAATTCAACGAATAATCAAAACTAGTCATTTAAAACGACTAAAATCTAAGGTCGTCTAGGTAATGAAGCTAGGTTAAGGTTCAAGGTTCTCTTCGTTCAATTCGATAACAAATTAAGTAAGATCCAATGTTTTAATTTGAATTCATGTCGAGTCTATATATATATATATATATATATATATATATATATATATATATATATATATATATATATATATATATATATATTTATATATATATATGTTGGAGTTTAAATCAAGTCAAAAAGCTATTCACAAAAAAAAAAAAAAAAAAAAAAAATTCAAGTAAAAAAGAGGTCAAATTGAATTTGGGTCAGGCTAATCAAGAATATATGTCATTTTGTATTAGGCTTACATCAAATTCAAGTCTTTCTTTGATTATGCACTGGTTTAGTTTGGGTTCTAATTAACATCCTATATATGATCCGTTTGATTTGGGAGTTGTTTGGTATCATATCTTTGAAATCGAGTGTGGACGATTTCAGGTTGGTGAGATCAAGTCGATTTTAAATAGTTAAGTACAAAATAGTTACACATTAATGGACGTCTTTTTGAATGAATTGTCACTCTTAGAGTGAATACTACTTGTAGTATTTTGTATAATACAAAGTATTTATTTATTAATTTAATTTAAGCAAAATTGGCCTCAACAACCTAAATTATAGCTTGTGTGCATCCAACACCCCAAATGTTCACCAGTAATAGGCACACCACTGATTATTAATTAAGGTGCAACAATTGTCATATATACTTCTTAATTATAAAAAAATGTCTTAATTTGATTACCCAAAAATACTCAATAATTTAATAACATATATTAGACTTCAATCAATAGTTGGTGGTGTACCTGCTAGGCTGCTAGTACTCAAAGTTCGGGGTGTTGGGTGTAATTGAGCTATAGTTCGAGGTGGTGTACCTATTTATTCTATAGTAGTGCACTATAGCTCTGGTCCACCCAACACCCCGAACCTTGAAATAGAATCCTTGTGTCCTAATAAATTGGACTCTCAATCTTAATGATGCATAAAACAAGACAATTTGTGTTTATAAATGTATATATAATTAACATAATGAACAGAATTTGCCAATGACACCTTATAATCAAGTTATCATTTTCCTAGGTATGTGCAAGAAACAATAATAGGGTGCTAAAATGTACTAATAGTTGATGATTTTTCACCATTTGCAATGAAATCTTTAAACCACTCGGCGGAAAGTCTGGGCGTCCGTTTCATGGTGTTCCGATCCACATAAAAGAGCCCAAAGGTGATGTTATAACCTTGTATCCATTCAAAATTGTCCATAAAACTCCATGCAAAATACCCTTTTACTTTAGCTCCTTTCCTACCATTTTGTACCAACAAAAAGCGTGCTCAAATTAATACAATCACTCAAATTAGTACTATGAGAAAGTGGGGCATCCTTTTAAATCTGACAGATAATGATGTATTAGTAATTCAATCATTTGATAATATCAAAGAGAATGTTGAGTTCTGACCTCATAGCCTTGGACATAGCTGCGAGATATGTTTGATGGAATTTAATCCTTGTAAAATCTTGTAGCAACTCTGTTCCTTCTTGGTAATTTGGTGGGCAGTACCCTGAATATTACACCGGATAAAATGAAATTAAATTAATGCACTTTTTATTACAAACATTAGCAAAGAATTGTCAATATTAACCAATGTTAAAAGCCAATATATATGCCTTAAAATTTCAATACAGCTGTTGTAATACTTGTGAATCATAGCTAGCTTGGCTAACTAACTAGTATGGTTCGGAGTATGTATAACTAACTTGGCTCATTAGCATCGTTATTGAATCATATTAAATCAATGAGTATGTTTTCTTATAGATTGATTTTGCTTAATCTTTCTTGCATTTGTCATAACTATTCAAATATGCTACATTTATTATTGTCGAAGGCTTATGAAACAAAACATGGATATAAATTTTCTAAGGCTATGTTTGGTTCATCTAATTTTGTCTGAATTTCTTTTATATGAAATTATTTTATATATATACAAAAATGAATTTATACGGAGTATTATCAAGAATTATCTACAAAATATATTTATACTAGAATAAGATAAGATAAATACGGAGTAAGAATAAAACAAAACATAGACGCTAAGTTTAGTTAAATTTTAGAATGAAAATTTGATTATAAAAATTAGAGCACCTTTGATAAATCAAATAAATCAAAATTGATAAGGAAATTGATAATAATAGTGAATTACTTACCATTTTCCGTAATATAAATATTGGTATTTGGATATCTCAAACTCAAACGATTCAGAAGCTTCTCCATTCCATAAGGTACTATGCGAAACCCAAAAACGCCCATCTGATAACATATTTAAAGAGTATATTTAGTAGTGTTGATCTGAGTTGAATTCTATTATCACTAATTTATACAAAGTCTTAGAAGCGGATAATCTATTCGATGGGTAAACCAATTGTTTTCCCCATACTTAGCTTTTGTTGCCAAACATAACCAATCGAAAATGAATTGAATCTCAAAACAAACACCTTATTGTAGGCACCATTATTTTTTTCTCACAATATAATTAGACTGAATTCACTTAGATTATAATTTGTTTGACTTCTATCATCTAAGCTAATTTTAACTTAATTATATGAATTTATTAAAATGATTTTTAATTATATTGAAACTTGTTTTCTCTAAAATTATCTAAACCTATTTTATTTTAATCTATACTTCCTCCGTTCTAGTAATATTGCAACAATTGGACTTTTGCACTATTCATCATGCTTGTTTGACCACAAATTATGATTTATGCGTAAAGTAAAATATAGTCATGTGGGGATCTTGTTAGATTCGTCTCGTAAAATACTTTCACAATATCAACTTTTTATAATTTTTACTCTTATACAATTATAGATATTTAACATATAAAATGTGCTTTGGAATGCGTAATTTCATCCTTGTTGCAACATTTGTGGAATAGAGAAAGTATAAACTTAAATTTTTTGAAAACAAATTTTTTTAAAAAAAAGTATAATGGCAAGGGGTCTTAATTTCTCCTAAACAATGACAAAATAGCAGTAACACTTTGTTTGGATAAGAGAAAAATAAAGAGGAGGGATGGAAGTAATATATAGGAGGGAAAGGGAGGGGAATAATTTAATCGAAGTTCCTTTATTCAAACTTAGAGAGATTTGGAGGGAAAATAGAGCTTCAACCTCCCCTTTAGTTTTCTCTGAATTATTTCACTCTCCTTCCTCATCGTTCCCTCGGTCCCCTTCCTTTCTCTATTTTGTTATCCAAACAAACTGTAAAAGTTGGATTGTAAAGGAGAGGGTAAATATTACCTCGTCTCCAATCGGAATACCATTTCGAGCTATCGCCCTGCCAGCAAAACCCTTGATAGAGCGATTGTCCTCTGAGGTGCAATCGTTGGAATTGAGACAGTCAATTGCATAAAAGGTGGAGTAATGATTTATGCCTATGAAATCAACACTTCCTTTCAATAACTCTACTTCTTCTTTACTAAACTTTGGTAAGTCCTTTCCAAGATATTTGCGCATTAAGGCAGGATAATTTCCAAATATTAAGGGATCAAATATCCTGCAAATTAAATCAATGTGTAAAAAAGCATGGACGCATTTGATTAACAAATTAACGTTAATCAAGCTTATTAATTTCATATATATATCATCATACATACCAGTGGATATTGAAAGCATAAGATCTTTCTACAGCTTGGTAGCTAAAGTCATCATTCGTGTATGGTTCATAATGGAAGGCATTCGCCGTTAAACCGACGATTCCACCTTGCTTAGGCTACAAGAAGGAAGCCATGGCAAAATGACATTAGTTATGGTTTTAATTGAAAAACTAGTACATCATTTGGGTATGTGCAACTTTAGTAATTATTCTGTATGCCCGATAATAATTTACGTATCTAGAGGTCACAGCTGTACATTGACAAGTATGTCGATCAAAATGATACATTTGTTTTTAAGATTAGCATACCTGAAAATGGTCTCGGTATAGTTTAACGGCCTTAGCATGTGCAATCAACATATTGTGAGCAGCAATTAAAGGTTCGACGTCTGAATTACCAGCAGAACAGTTACCAAAAGGAAGTGAACAACGCCTTGGCGGAAATGTTCCTCTCATATAAGCGAATTGAGTGAATACATTAGGCTCATTTATAGTCATCCAATTCTTCACTCTATCACCGAACTTCTCAAAACATAACTTTGCAAAATAAACATAATCTTCCCTACACAACGTATGTCGTCAAAATTAAACTTATGTGTTACATTCTGCAAATGAAAGTAACAAATAGAAAAACATAGATCGGACTAAATTAGTCTCATCAAGAGAACTCAAAAAGGACGTGTAAATGCAAGTGTGTAAGTATTATATATGTGTCCCACATTGAAAGATATAAAGTAATAAAGTGAGGTTTTAGGGTGAAACCTCCTTATATTAATATTTATTGTGACTTACTGCATGTGAGGACTGAGCCAGCCTCCATATCTATTCTCAAGTTCTTGTGGCATATCGAAGTGGTGTATTGTCACAAATGGCTCGATTCCTGCACATATAATTACATATTACTGGCTAAGATACATTTAACCTAGAATTTAGCCGGCCAGGAACAAGTTTTGAATCAAAAAAGAAATTTTTGCGGTGTGAGAGGTTTAACTAAGATACATTTATTCGATCACAAAACTTAATATTGCAAATGATGTTGATGAAATTTGATCTTGTTGACAAAATGTGATCTTAAATCTTATTTACTACCCTCCAAGACTGATCAATTCATCTACTTGGAAACCATTGTTTGATATACTTCAAAAAACAGGGATTTGATCATGCGACCAAATTGCAAGAATGTCACTTTAAAATTGCTTAACCACTCACTATCTATCATATTCATGGCTTTATATGCACCTCCTAATTTACAGTGAATTATGGTGGTAGATAAGTCATTTCTATTCCCATGTTTCACGATTATATCAACTTCTTTTTTCAACCATTTCATGTTAACCAAACAACATGCCAAGCATGTAGTTCTTAAGAATTACTCCATATCACCTTTTCTTCTATTTGCCTCCAACTATGAATAAACATTTGGAAACGGAAAATAATTTAAGAATAACTAAAGATTGGATTAATTTGGAGTCTACAATAATGATAGTTCTCTTTGTGACACTTACACGGCCTGTTATAATATTGATTTAAGGTGCGTTCACTTCACTTAAATTTGACTTATCTTACTTATGTAGGTACGTTATTTGAACTACACTTAGTTTATCTCAACAAATTTGAACTTAATGTGTATATAGTAGTTGTATGTGAACTTACATACAGTAAAAATATATTAAGGTGAAGAGAACAAATTTTTAAAATATGGTCATATAGTTTAGATTATTATATAAAAGAGAGCTAATGATAGACTAAGTTAAAATATTTCTAATCTGATTCAATCTGGACCGACCTCTAGGTGTACCTAGCTTTCAGGCTTGGACAATAATTTTTGAACAGCCCTACATACCACATTGCCACCCCCTAAAGAAGCACAACTTGTACAAAAATATTCTAAGATAAGGTTTAATCAACAAATAGTCATACCTTTTAGCAGCAAATTGTCAATAATTTTGTTGTAGAATATGACCCCACTTGGATTGATCTCACCAAACCTTCCCCCTGTACTACGTGAAAAGTCGTCTTCAGATATAAGGATAATGGCAAAGTATTAAAAATATATACGTAATTTAAATTAGACAACTAATATATCATTCAACTAAATCAATAAATAAAATAAACTACTCATATGAATATGAAACATGATCATATCTATAAATCGTGTTACGTACTTGGTAGGATTCTGGTCCATGAGATTGATAGTCGATAAGCATGTACTCCAAGATACTCTAATTTATCAATATCTTCCTGTCAAAATGTGACATTTTGTAACATATTTAAGTATAATAAATTTTTTGCATTGAATCATATATAGTTATATACTCCCTTCAACTCTAAAAAAGTTCTTTAAATTTTAACAATAAAAAAAATAACCATGTAATGATGGTAATGATCATCGGCTATATCTCCGTTTTCTCCTCTCCCAGTGTTCCCTGCAAGATAGTATCTTTTTAATAAGTATTCATTTATATACATTATAACAAAAAAAAGTTCTAAAAATACATATTTATCAATATTATAAGATTTTACATAATGATATTTTTTTCTTATACTTAACATATTGTGGCAAGTATCTCAAGATGGAAGAAGCAAAAAGTTTAAAACCATTATCTATGCAGAGTAAGTATTACCTCCGTTTCATACTATGTGCAACATTTACTAAAACTAATTGTTACACATGAGCAACAAATATTTTATTTCATTTTTAGGTTGTCATTTCTCTCCATTTCTCTCCTCATCACATGCATCACTATTTTTCTCTCTCCATTTAACACTCACAAACATATTTTGATTACTGATATAAAATAGAGGGAGTATTTATCATTTCTGAGTCTGTTGTCAGGTGTTTGATCTCATGCATCAAGCATTTGAACGTAGTTTAAACTTCAATGTGCTCTCTACATCCTGAATTAATAACCATCCTATTTACTTTATTAGATCATTTCAATTAACCCGATTATTTAAATGGCCATTCTAACCCTTTTTTTTTTTTTTTTTTTTTACAACAAAATTAGCTTAAGTTATGGCATGCTTGAGTACGTGCAGCCAACAATACAACCTTACGTAGGCGCTGCCCACGCCATGAACTATAAGGTCAGGTGCATGAAATGACGCATAAATAGCGCTACAGATGCAATAATATACAAGACTATGTTCTCTAATCTATTTTGATACTTTGAAATTATACTAATATTAAGAAATCGACATTATAGCAAAAAAAGTAATGCTATTATGCTAAGGCTGCATATAAGTATAAAACTAGTGAGTAGCCGGGCGTTGCCCCAGGTTGCTACTGTTGTAGACGTGCAAACGATAAATTTTATTAAACGCTTTTCAAAATTGAAATTGTCGTTGTCAAATCAAAATTGAGTTATTATTTTAGTATTTTTTTTTAATATTTTTTTTTTTATAAATTGAATCTTGTAGTTTGCATTTATATAATTTTCTTACATATTAATAACATAATTGATAAATGGCTTAGATGGTTTAATAGTCATCTTTGTTATAAAAGGTTGAGGGTTCTAATGAAATGTTTAAAAGGTGACGTGAAGCAATACATAAAAAGGGGACTACGTGGCACATCGACGTTTTTAGAAACGCCTTTTAATATATTAGTATAGATGTTATAAATTTTAAGATATTATTACAGAAACAGTGTAAATTGGTATAATTAATACTATCTTTATCCTTTTTCTTTTTTTTTTTTTTTTTTTTTGCCATATTTGACTTTTTACAGTCTCCTAGGTGCATTTTAAAACGTACTACCTCCATTAATTATTATGTGCAACAAAGGATTATTTTATATCTCACAAATAATACCCCTTTGTTGAACATAATAGTTAACGGAGGTAGTATATAACTCCAATTTTATATGCGTAAAAATTATTAAAACATGATATTAATAAAATAGATAACGAGACGAATCCAACAAGACCCCACTTGACTATATTATCTCATATACATTAATGAGAATACACTGTCAAAGTTTTAAAAGTATGACTCAATTATTTGCAATGGGGCAAAAAAAATAGGGACATATTACTCCCTCTATTTCATAATAATCGCAACATTTTGACCGGGACATATGCCAATGCACAACTTTGACCATCAATATATGTAAGTGCATATTATTAAAAAGTATTAAAGGTTAATATTATGAAAATATACTTAAATACTAATCCAAAAATATTTTACAAGGCAATATTATTAATTTCGATTATGAGAGGTGAACTTTAAATTTACCTATAATATAAATAAAAAAAATATAAAAGTGCATAAAAAAATTCCTCAGTGTCTCCTCTATCAGATTTTTCCAGTTCCACCATTGCAGGTTGGACAAACGATCCTCCCAAAAGTTTTTCGAATTCAGCCTCAGCCTTAGCCTTTGAGCTTCTTCCTTGCTAAGTCACGTGCAAGAACAGCTGTGAGCATTTAACCAGCAATAGTGAAAATGAAAGAGCAACTGACAACAAGTCTGATATCCATGGAGCATAGCACCAGTGAGTTGTCTTGCTAGCAAAAGTTCCAAAAAGGGAGAACACAATTCACCATTGTTTTATATAGACCATGCTACAACAAAAGAAAACATGACAATTTCAAGATTAAGTCAGCTATACATTGTAGAGTAACAAACAATTCAGTAAATTTTAAGAACAACAGAGATGGTGAACAGGTGGAATTTTCTACTTCAATGGACATGGTGGACAGAGGTGGAGAAGAGAGGGAAAGTTGAAAAATGCTCAAGAGTTATAGCGACGCAGAGATGGAGAGGATAGAGAAAGCTCAACACTCATTACATCTGTACATGTGTGGAAGGACATAAATGTAAGAAATTACATATGAGGTAAGAACGTAAACAAACATTTTGAAGGGCATATAAGTCCGTACACTATTCATAAACGCAATCTCCTAATTATTATAAGGTAGGGAAACATAATTTAAAAGCAGCGAAATTGAGACTATCACAATAAATGATGTTTTGTTATACTCCCTCCATTTCATAATAATCGCAACACTTTCATTTTATGTATGTTTCATAATAATAGCAACACCTCCACATTTGGAAAAGATTCACTATTATTTTATAATTTCTCTCTCCCACTATTCTCATTATCACAAATACGAAGTACTTTATTATTTATTTCTCCAACCGAATCCACTTAAACACTTTTTTAATATTTCTCTTTCCTACTAAATTTGTGCATACCTTAGTGTTGCAATTATTACGAAACAGAGAAAATATTGTTTTTTTTTTTTTTAATTTCCATAAATATTGCAAGTACCGAGTATCCCATAGTAAGAGTGTAATGGTAATCCTATAGTATTGCAAAAGATTTTGACAAAATCATAATACTATTTCCTGAAATCATGGTAAATTTTAGCAATTATGCCAAAAAAAAATAAAAAAAAAACTAAAAATAAAAATTCAAATGGGTAATTTGTAAGCAAATTGGGCCAACCCAACATATACTTTTATCGTTGGTTGTACCCTAACACACAAACACACTCTCTCATCTCACAATCTCAGTTAGGCCTTTTGACTACTTTTCTCACCTACTCACTCCCAATACCTTTTTTTTTTTTTTTTTTTGAACAACACTCCCAATATTTGTTTAATGATAATTTGGTGCTTTTAATCAGCCTTTTGCATTTTCTCATCCCTTCATTAATATTGAGATACTATGGTAAGTTATCGCTAATTGATCAAGTATTTAGCTAATTACTTGAATTTTTATACTTGTTTTACTTCTAAATATTATTAAGCACTTCACACTATAAAGATTATCTAAGATATTGTGTTAAACTTTTTTTTTATTAACAAAACAATATATTTACAATATAATGATTTTGAAATAAATATACTCCTTTTATTCTTGGTATCATTTGGAATCTTGAGGAATTTTAATACGTTAGGTTAAAAGTAAATTGAACAAAAAAAACAAAGAGTACTCGGTATACATGCTTGTATTATGATATACGTATATACGTGAGAGCCTGTACACCTGGGTGTACCGTACACTCGGGGTTATTTGCTCATTAATTTTTACTCATTTAATAAATAAGCAAGTATTTTTGCTCAATTATTAAACGATCAAAAATTAATGAGTAAATAACCCCGAATGTACCGTATACCCGGGTATATATCACAACTTCTATATATACGTATCAGCTTTGTACTAAATGATTTAATCATATCCCTACGATTATGATACTATATTTCTATATCCTATATGATTTTAGGATTTGAAACTTTTTGGTTATATATACTCTATCAGCTTTCATGGGAAGAGTTTCTAATAAAACTACATTTACATTAGATTGTAAAAAAATTGACACACACTCGTACTAATAAGCCTAACACACCCATATGTGCAAATAAATTGACCTTATTATCCAGCCACACCAAACTGTATTCAATATTTATAGGGAAGTTAGACATTGAGTAAGAACACGAAATTTTGTTCTATTTTATAATTTTCTTATTAAAATACGAAGTATAAGTCGTTTTTTTTTAAAAAAAAAAAAAATTTAAAAGACTTTTTTTATTGCTTTTCAACTACAAAATTACAAAACTCTTTTTCCTTAATGATGTTGTTGTGTTGCCGACCCCTCATCTCATGGAATCAAAAGTTACACATATTAATTCAACACTTCTACCAGAATTGATAGGAGATATTTCCGGAGATTTCTAAACAACTTTATTTTTTAAAAAAAATTACTTTTGAATTTTAATCTTCTTTTAAAAAGAAAAAAGATAGAAAGGTGAGTACTTCTTTCATATACTGAATTTTATCTTTTTATATCTCTTATATTCCTCTTCATATATCTTGCATGTAAAGCTAAACAACTTATTAAATTGTAAAATTTAATAAGTTTGTTATATTGTTACACATAAATATACCCTAATTTTGATTATTTTATTAATATTTTAGTTATATAGGTTTAGATCTTAAAAGAACTTTAATGCGAGAAGAAAGATATATGGATGCGGAAGAAGTGCAAATGGAGGATTTAGAAGCTCAACAAAAGAAGACAATGGAATCTGATCGAACCAAAATTCAGAAAAAGGCTAAGCAACCCGTTACATTGAAGGTATTTTTTCTATTTATTTTGTTTATAGATCTTTATTCATTAATCTTTAATGTAATGTTGTTGCATGAAGTACCACTTTACATGTAGTTATACTCCATATCTTGGATTCAAGAATTTTATAGGACTTAGTCGGAGTATAATATATTCTTGGTGGAATTTATTGAATTTGTGAATGAATTAAACTCCTTGCTAGGTTTAAGATGCAATCTGCATGTATGTCGAATTTGAAGTTGAATGTGTATGAGAACAAAAAAAAAAAAAAAAAAAAAAAAAAAAAAAAAAAAAAAATCAACATCACAAACTGGAAAATCTTAATCTGATTTTTTAAGAAAATTTCCTAAGATGAATGTGATTTCTTAATTTTATTTATTTATTTTTCTTTTTTCTTTTGGTGTAGTGAATGTGATTTGATGCATAGTCAATTTTTCTTTATTAATGGTCTACGCACTTTTAGGTTTATTAAAGTGACGCATAATTAATACTCATAATCCTATAAAATGTGTGTTCGCAATTTTTAATAGAAAAAGGCCGTACTCCATGAATTAATACTCTAAAAATGATTTTTTTTTCATAATAAATAAACAAAAGTGTAATTAGTATAGTGTAAATTCTTACTCGTAGTATGTGTTGGATATAATTGAGTTATTTGACTCAGAATTTGGTGTATCCCTAATTTCGTTATTTTTCTTCTTACAATCTTAAGACATACAAGTACTTGTTTAAATAAAAATTTGCATAATCCCTTCTCATCAATCAACAACCAATTTACTATACGTCTATTGTCTATACCAACATAAACCATGGAATATAATTCGTAGGTACTAAGTAGAAAGTTATTTTTTTGTTCTTCTAGGGTAAGAAAGTGCAATAATTTTTGTCTATTATATAAAATTAATAGATTGAGTGAGCACTGGGGTGAAGTAAGTAAAAAGTAAACCTAAGGTTTCTGATAGAATAAGCACTTTAAATAATATATCGATTGAGGAACATAATAATTAAACGGATATAGTATACAAATAAATATTTTTTGATAAGGAAATACTATACAAATATTGCACACTTATATACGTCATATCTCATAAAGTGCGTATGTAAGCTCATGTAACTATGTATAACTAACACATGTATTTTCCATATTATGTGAATTCAATTAAAATTACTCGGAAACTAAGTCAATACCTTAAGCAAAACTCTCCTTGTCATTAACAATATAACTTGTAGTTTTGTTGCTGAAATTATCTGAAAATGAGGTTTTATTAACTTGTGAGTGAGGATTATCTTACTTAAAAGAAAAGTAAATGTCATTAATCATGCATTAAGAAAAATAGATGACCGAGCTAATATAATTAAACTTATATACTTCATCTTCTCTAATTTTAGTGAACTATAACCGATCAAGAGGATCCAAAAAAAACTTATAATGTCATCATCAAGTGATGTCATATTCAAATTTAGCTCATTTCTAGAGTCATCATGATATATGATGTTACTTTGTCTAAACAAGAACAAGACACATAATTAGATGCATGCATCTATGTCTTGTTGATGCTCCTTTGCATCTACAATGATTTATACGGCCAAGTGAAGTACATTTAAAGAATTGCATGATAAAAAATTTAGTTATCAATGTAGTGATACATTACTATTCATGATCACGTAACGTAACTTGTTTTAAAAGCGTACTTTTGTATTATATGTAAAATAAAAAATACATTTATCGTGAATTTGTATCATATGAAATGAACGATTTTATATATAAAAAAAAAATTCTCATTTGCAGTTTAAGGATGTGGTGTACAAGGTGAAATTTCAAATACCGAGCAATAAAAAGGTTAAAAACACTACAGATTCACCATTGCGAGAGCGGATCATACTAAATGGGATTTCGGGTGTGGTAAAGCCCGGCGAAATGCTAGCAATGCTCGGTCCTTCAGGAAGTGGTAAAACCACCCTTTTAACGGCCTTAGGTGGTCGACTAGGCGGCCACCTCAAAGGAACCATTACATACAACGGGAAGCCATTCTCGAACCAAATGAAACGAAACACCGGTTTTGTGACACAAGATGATGTGCTCTATGCTCATTTAACTGTCACGGAAACACTAGTATACACTGCACTATTAAGACTACCAAACACATTTACCAAAGAACAAAAGATTGGTGTAGCTGAGGATGTTATGCTCCAAATGGGCCTAACTAGGTGCAAGAATAGTATTATTGGGGGCCCGTTTATGAGGGGCATTTCTGGTGGTGAGAGGAAGAGGGTTAGTATTGGGCAAGAGATGTTGATTGACCCGAGCCTTTTGTTCCTCGACGAGCCTACATCGGGCTTGGATTCAACTACGGCCCAACGAATCGTGTCTACGTTGTGGGACCTAGCACAAGGAGGGAGGACAGTTGTGATGACTATACATCAACCTTCAAGTAGGTTGTTCTACATGTTTCATAAGGTCTTATTGTTGTCTGAAGGTAACTCTTTGTATTATGGTAGTGGTTCTGATGTTATGGACTACTTTCAAAGTGTTGGGTACGTCCCCAAAGTTCCGATGAATCCGGCTGATTTTCTCCTAGACCTCGCAAATGGTACGTTTCCAATGCTCGACTTATTTATAACACGTACATACGTACATAAAAGTTTATTTGTTTCCCTAGTGAAACTGTTAGGCAATTAGCGGGACTCTTTAAATTTAACCTTGGTGCGTGAATCACAGGGGTTTCACCGGATGAGTCAGAAGATCAAGTCATGGTAAAAGAAAGGCTAATTGTGGCATCCAAGAACCATATAGCAACCAAATTGAAAGCAGAATTGCAAGAAGAAGACGGTGTGGTTGCTGATCATAATAAGAATGAGTCTAATACGAACGTTGGGAAGTGGCCAACTACTTGGTGGCAACAATTCACCGTACTTCTTCAAAGGGGTATGAAAGAGCGAAAGCACGAATTTTTCGACGTCCTTAAGATCACACAAGTCATTGTTGTAGCTTTCCTAGTAGGACTTTTATGGTGGCAGTCCAAGATCACACACTTACAGGACCAGGTAACATGATTAATTACTTCGTATATATCTTCACTTATTGGTTCATGAACATAAATTATATGACAATGATATGGAATTTTATTTTACAGATTGGACTTCTATATTTCTCAACCGGATTTTGGGGGTTCTTCCCATTATTTCAAGCCATCTTCGCATTCCCACCAGAACGTATGGTACTCGCAAAGGAACGATCATCAGGAATGTACAGACTATCATCTTATTTCGTAGCACGAATGGTTAGTGATCTACCAATGGAGCTCATACTACCCACAATATACATCGCCATAACTTATTTTATGGGAGGACTCAAGTATAAGGCCACATGTTTCCTCTACTACTTGTTCTCTCTTCTCTTAAGCATCATGGTTTCGCAAGGCCTAGGCCTTGCGTTAGGAGCACTTGTCATGGACCTTAAGGCCGCGACCACTTTAGGGTCAGTGCTCATGCTTACATTTCTCCTAGCAGGCGGCTTCTACGTTCAACACATCCCTGCCTTTATTAAATGGATTAGGTACTTATCGATTATGAACTACAATTACAAGCTGCTGCTCGGGTCGCAGTATAAGCCAGGGGAGACTTATCCATGTGGTGAAGGTAAATTGTGCTTGGTGGAAGATTTTCCTTCTGTTAAATCAGTAGGACTTAGAGGGCAGCTTGTTTCGGCGGTTGTTTTGATCGTAATGTTTGTTGTGTATAGGGTCATTGCTTATGTTGCACTTATGCGTATTGGTGTAACGCGAAAGATTAAGAAAGCCTAAATATTGTATGCTTAGCATTCTATTAGTGATTTTGGTAGTATTTGGATCTATACTCTTCAACAATAATGTTTGCAAGATTTTATACAATGTATTATAGTAGCTCTTACTGAAAAACAAACATTTTGTTATATTGTTGTTGTCCTTGTTGATATTTAGACTAGTTTGATGAAGAACAAATAGTCTGACCTTTTTGTATATCGTAGTTTTATCCAAAAGAAATTGGGCTTTTCGTTGCGGTAATTGGGCTTTTTAGTTGCGTTAATTGGGCTTTGATTCGATACAAGCTCCCCAATTCCTATCATCCATAGCCCATGTCAGTCTTTTTTTTTTTTTAACCCCCTTGATAGACCTAAAAACAATTTGAAAAAGTTAGCCATGACCAACTCAAAATAATTGAGAATTCTCAAAGGTGTACATAACCGGATACCCAACCTGATGACAACTTTGAAAAGCCAGCCATGACTTAGGTCGAGTTGTAGGGTGTTGGATATTTTGCTCAAACTTGTTATTTAAACCATATAAAATCTTACATATATTCAGGTGTACCTAAGTATATCGTAAAATTTTAAATATTATGTTGGAGGACTTCTCAACCAAAAACTTAATTATACCGATGGTTGAAACCCAAAAATATGTTTTATACTCTATCAGGCCCCTTACTTAAGAGATCGTTGGTTTTGAAATGTGGATGCAACATGGACTCTCCTCATATCCAACACTTACTATTTCACTTGAACGTGGGGGTAGAGATGATATTTGAATACGTGACATTTGTATCACGCTGGTTCTGATATTATGTTAGAGGACCATATCAATTTGGTTGAGTTGGTTGGTTAACATATCAAACAAGCAACAAATTATTCTTGATATGACTTTTGAAATCAAGCGACAGGTTGAGATACTTTTACCTACATGCATAATAGATATGATCAAGAAAGCAGCAGAAACAGTATGCTGTAACTCTAAATTTTACGGTTGATCCTATGATAGTTTGTTAAATGGGTTGTTACCAACTTGCCACTCTTGCCGAAAATAATTATTCCATAACCATATTAAACGTGTTTAGTTGGCATCTACTCTACAGGGAACAAAGGAACAAGCTGTTACAAACATTTTGAGATCCAATAAATTAATAACAGATAATTATAAGAATCACACGCTTAAAAAAACAAGAAACTCACCAATTTCATATAAAATTAGCCTTTTACAAAAATGTAATACGGAAAGATAATTGTTCAAGAAAGTTAAACTATGAAAACAATGATCAAGGTATTATTTTAAGAATTAAATATTGTACGTAGTACATACTTGGTAAGTCATATATTGGAGCCACTAATGGATGTAAAAAGATACTCCTCTATTTTATAATGTTAGTCTCATATGAAATCAATCACATAAAATAAGAAAAGAAGAATATTTGAAATCTAACATTAAAGTATAAAATAATTCATAATTAATTTACCTTTTTTTTTTTCAAGTCATAATGCATAATTTAAGGTAGACATTTCTTTACTTAGAGTCATGTCATCAATCTACAACCATTTAATTCCAAAAAAATTAAGTTAAATAGTGGAATATATTCAATATGAGTAGATCTTTTTAAAACGCCCAATAAAGTAAATGGGACTAATATTATGAAACGAAGGGAGTAATGAAATCAACAACAAGAAAACAAATATTTTACGAAATTTTTTTATTGCACTTGAGTATAAGATTATTGGCTACTTTAAATAGCCAACATAACAATTACAACTACAATTACAAATATTTAGGCCCCGTTCACTTCACCTTATTTTTGCTAAATTTAAATTATTTTTATTGAACTGAAATTATTTTTGCTGAACTTAAATTATTTTTACAATTATAATAAACTGAAATTATTTTTGCTGAATTAAAATTATTTTTTTTACAGATTTTCTATTATATTTCTTCTTTATAGTTACTGAATTTTACTGAACTGAACTTATTTTTACTGAACTGAAATTATTTTTATTGAGCTAAACTTATTTTTATTAAACTGAAATTATTTTTTTTAATATTATTTTTTTAAGGTGAAGTGAACAGAGTCTAATACGGAATATCAAATTTTGAAATAAATTATGTATATAAGTTTATAACAATTATACTCTCCGTTCATAATAAGCACAATCGTTAAAGTTTTTCATTTATCTTATATTAAGTTGATCTCATATTTTTTATTTATTAAAAAGCAAGTGTTATCAAGTATAATAAAGTTGGATTACTTTCATTGTACTTCTTTCATTTTGCTGAGCTCTACTCAATTATTGTAGCAATAAAAATTTAGAAAAAGCGAAAATTGGGATCATGTATATGACTACTTTTGTTTTAAAGAGGATAGAGATATAGAGAGTTCGGAATTTATTTAATATAGTTGAGCCCTCCAAAGTGGGGTTGTAGTTGATAGAAAAAAATAAAATTGCTACGGAATATTAAAAAAAAACAAAAAAAAAGTAAAAGTAAGTAGAATTTAAAAAAACGGATGAAAACGGAAAGTGAGTAGAACTTTAGAATGGATGAATATATTTTTTTTTTTTTGAACAGGGAATGTACTTGGTATTTCAAGATTATGAAACCCTTTTTTTCTTAGATCCTTTATCTAACCACAAACTTTTGACACGCCATTAGTCGGCTATGACAAGAATTTATGGGTATAGATGCTATCCTCACACTTACATCTTGGTTTATTTGTACCAACTCATACGCCATCCTTAATAAGATTTTCAACTAAATTCTGAATTTCTAGTTTCATTTACTTCAAATTAGTAGTGTAATCACAATTTGTTTGCAATCTCTATAATCTCATGTTATGTCATTTCACATCTTGGACATTGGATTTGGATACCTAGCTTGATCTAATGTGTACATTATTTCTTTGACTAGGATCTGATCATCTCAAATTTAATTTCAAACTTGTTAATAAATTAAACTTGGGGTACTCAAAAAGTGAGCGAAAGATTAGTCTAAAATATTGCCGTTTACAACTTTTCGTAATTATAATTAAGTTGTGACATTTTTTTAGTCAACATAAACGATTTGTAAGAAGAGTATAACTACATACAAGTAAACTTACGCTTTCATCCATCTTTAATTTCTATCTACATACAAACTCCGATAGGATATCATCCTAAATCGAAACATGTCCCTTATCCTTACCAAAGTGATGGATATCATATGTCATCGAAGCGTTTTATCTCTATCTCAAATAAGCCAATCTCCAATAATATAGATATGTATGTGATTACCAAAGATGTTGGGCAGATAATGGAAAACGGAAAGCCATCCTTAACCAACCAATTGAAAAAGGGGGATTAATTAGATAAGTGCTAACTAAAGTAAGTACTATTATTCCATACAAAGACCAACCAATAATGTCGGCTTTGTGAATTGAATCAATTCAAACTATATATAATACTCAAGTTTAAGTACTTCATAAATAATTTAATTAGGTAGAACTACTTTAATTAATCAATTAATTAACTAAGTCAAGAAAATGTTGATTTTGTGTACGTTAATTAAGCTAGTCTAGCTTTATTTTTCTTTAAGCATTTAAAAGGCATTGGTCATTTGCCTAAAATTTTCCACTTTTAAACTGTAAATCCGCGTGCAATTGTGTACTATGTTCATTCGCATATTATAGCCCACAACATGGATTGGGACCAATTATATTAATTAATTCAAAGATTATGTACAAGCAACCCATTTTATGAATGAATTCACACTTAGTGTTGGAAGTTTGCCTAGTCTAGTGGACTAGTGGAGTGACAAACTAAGCATAATTTTCAATTTAATATTATTAAATTTGCATTCATCTATAAAATTTATTCTATAATGTAGGAACTCAATAATTTATTTCCGTTATTTATTGAGAAAGAAACTTTAATTTCCAATAAAAAACTAGCAACAATAATAAAAGTTACAGAGTACAAAGATAGCACACACATGCGATAGATGGGATCAATTTTCCCATGTAGAAGAAATAAAGAAAATATGAAAGGTGTAAATTAAAATTACTGGGCTAATTATTGCCAATTGATTTTAAGATGAAATTTTATTTGACTTATAATACGTAAGTGATCAAACATTTAATGTTCCTCTCATCCTCTGACATGATCTTATATGTGAATTGTGAACCAATGAAGATTTTTCAAAATAAATATATATACCTTAAATATTACATAGAATTTCAGCTCAATGTGAAACTATTTGCTGAAATAGTTGGAAAAGGCATATAACTCTTAGATTGATTATTACTCGTACAAGTCGTCTCTTAATTAGTAAGACCAAAATATTTATTAATGATTGATTTGTTAGAAATAAACGACGTAGATTTTTAAGGAGAAAATCAATACTAAACAATGATTTATAAATCTGTAGGGTTGGTAATACTTTAGTTGTAATTATTCAATAACGAATAATCATATAACTTTTATGACAGTTTCTTTCTCAATTTATTGCATTTAAGACATTTTATCATGTATCTCTTAATCAGTCATGAATGTTGCCAACCTAATGATCGATAATTATGACAATAGTATCATACAATTGATACGCTACCAATTGGTTGATTAATTAGCTAAAAGAATTATAGGTATGCATGGTGTGTGCATTCATAATCCAGATGTATATATAACAACAATCTTTGAAGCTAGAAACAGTTGCAATTAGGCCACTTCTTTTAATATCGTTATTATCGTCCATCAGTATGTTTTTTTTCAAAAGATTTGGTGCATCTCCTGGCCTCGTCTATTTGAATGTAACTAGTGATGATATTTTTGGTCAACAACAAAACACTCGTGAATATCAATAGTTTTATTGCCGTCACATTTAAGAGCCCTTGCTTATTAGAACCCACATGCTATGCTGGCCTATATACAACGATGCAAACATTTTTGAAAATGATGCTAAACAATAATAATTTGTTATAATTATTGCTCTGTATTATTATTATTGATAGAATATGTAAATTAATCTAGGCTTTAACTATCAGGTTAACCTTTTGGTTGAGTTAATCCTCTAACATGATATTAAGAGGTAGCATAACACAAAAATCGTTTTCGATCACATGGAAGCATAGGTTATATGAAAAAGATCAAGTGATGAATTGAAGTGACAAATGTAGAGTATGATGTATAACAGGTACAATACTCGTAAAAAGCACGTGAAAGGGGTGTGTAACAG